CTTATTTCTTGAAGATATTTTCAAGCTTGTTTTTTATATCTTTAAACACACTAAACATAATTATTTTATGATCTGTGTCTGAAAATTTCAGTATCTGAAGTCTTCAGAGTTTTTTTTTTTTAAGACGAAGTCTCACTCTGTCACCCAGGCTGAAGTGCAGTGGCGCAATCTCTACTCTGCAACCTCTGCCTCCCTGGCTCAAGTGATTCTCCTGCCTCAGCCCCTTGAGTAGCTGGGATTACAGGCACCTGCCACCATGACCGGCTAATTTTTATATTTTCAGTAGATACAAGGTTTCACCATGTTGGCCAGGTTGGTCTCAAACTCCTGACCTCAAGTGATCCGCCCATCTCGGCCTCCCAAAGTGCTGGGATTATAGGCATGAGCCACCGCATCAGGCCCAGAGTACGTTTCTATTTGTTGTTTCTGTAGGTTCTTGTTCCTGGTGCCGTGTTTCCTTGTGTGCTTGCTTATTTTGCACCACACGATACTCATACCCCTCAAATCTCATTTGTGAAGATTGTTTGAAGCCTGAGATGAATGAGCATTATTTCCAGCAAGGATTTGTGTTTGTATTTCTCAGGGCCTAAGGGCAACTAGCCAGGTGCTGCTTTAAACAAAATATATAGCTTGAAGTTTTGGGGCCCCTGATGTGAATTTTGGCTGCAAATACAAGTGAGGGATGTTTTGTTGTTATCATCTCTCAGAGATCTACATTTTTTCTTTTTTCTACTTTGCTCAGTGTCAAGGTAAATTTCTTTATAGTCCTCTATGGGTAGGGATGGGTTAGGTTTATGTTCTATGTTTCTTTAAACATAAAAAAACCTAACTTCTATGCCTGATTATTCCAATACCTGAAGTCATTGCAGGGGTGTGTTTCTTCTGTTTTTTGTTCCAGCTGGCTATCACTTATTGTGCCCTTCTTCCCTAGGGGTTCGAGCCTTTTCTAAGTGAGAGCTCTATTTCTTAGAACTTTAACTGTGTGAATTCTTTAAGGACTAGGTTGAATGTGGGTTCCTGTAAGTAAGACTCACATTTGCTGGCTGGGCGTGGTGGCTTATGCCTGTAATCCCAGCACTTTGGGAGGCTGAGGCAAGTGGATCACCTGAGGTCAGGAGTTTGAGACCAGCCTGGCCAACATGGTGAAACCTGTCTCTACTAAAAATACAAAAATTAGCCAGGAGTGGTGGCGGGCACCTGTAATCCCAGCTACCTGGAAGGCTGAGGCAGGAGAAATGCTTGAACCCAGGAGGCGGAGGTTGCAGTGAGCTGAGATCATACCATTGCACTCCAGTCTGGGCGACAACAGTGAAACTCCGTCTCAAAAAATAAAAACAAAACCAAGACTCACATTTGCTGATGCCTGAGGGTATGATCTACTTAAAATCACTTTCAACTAAATAATCAGCTCAAGATGTTTCAGATCATCCTAGCAGTGTGAATGGGGCCTTCAGCCCCTACCTATGGGCACCAGCTTCTAATTATGAGTTACCAAGGAACAGTTTTGTTTTTCCTTTTACTCAGTAAAAAAGTTCAAGTTAAACTATTTCTTTTAGTCTCTAAAGATGGAAATAGGTTGTAGTTATTTTCAGTTCACCCTTTATAACGAAGGGCTAGTTCTTTGGGGCCCTGAATTCATTGGGAGAGGATCTGTTCTCACACTCCTAACTTGGAAATGCCTGGGACTTGTGTTCATTTAGCCAAAACCATGAAAACTTTAGTTCAGATCACCTGGCTAACAAATGATCCAAGGTAAAGCCAGCTTCAGTGCCCCCTTCAACCCACTGGACTCCCACTTCCACTCTGTAGTTGGCTTCTGGGTATGCCTTCCCAACTCATACTTTACAATATTTTCACATTTTTTATTTTCAGTTGTTTCTAGATGACTGGCCAATCATGTCATCTTTTACAGCTTAAAGTCATGTGTGTGTGTGTGTGTGTGTGTGTGTGTGTGTGTGTGTATATATATATATATTTTTTAAATTTTATTATTTATTTATTTTTTTCCAAGATGGAGTCTTGCTCCGTTGCCTAGGCTAGAGCGCAGTGGTGCGATCTCAGCTCACTCAGCTCACTGCAACCTCCACCTTCTGGGATTCAAGCAATTCTCCTGCCTCAGCCTCCCGAGTAGCTGGAACTACTGGCATGTGCCACCACACCTGGCTCATTTTTTGTATTTTTAGTAGAGACGGGGTTTCACCATGTCAGCCAGGATGGTCTCGATCTCCTCACCTCGTGCTCTGCCCACCTTGGCCTCCCCAAGTGCTGGGACTACAGGCATGAGCCACTGTGCCCAGCCCATATATTTTTATTTCTAATGTTATCAACATGAACAGAATACTAAATATAATAGCCAGTCATTTATGTTTTTAACAAATATTAAGCGACTAGTAAGTGCAAAACAGTGTTCTAGGTTCCTGAGATTCAGTAATGAAGAAAACAAAGTCCTTGCCCTTGAGCATTACATCTGATAGAGGAAATAAAGGTATAGGTAGCAAAGAAGAAACATAAACATGATAAGGAGGATGGAAGGTGACAAAGTAATAGTATGATTCTTAATGGGTTGGTTAGGAAAGGTCTCTTAGGTAAAGTCATATTCAAGCAGACACCTGAAGGAAGGGGAAGAACAATTTCAGTGGATGACTTGAGAAAGAACTCCACAGGCAGAAGGGACAGCAAGTACCAAGGCTCAGATGCAGGAGTGTCCTTGGTGGCTTCAAGGAACAGCCAGAAGGCCAGTGTGGCTAAAGTAGAGGGAGGAAGAGGGAGGTGTGTAGCAAATGAGATCAAATAGGCAGCAGCATGCCGCGGCATCCAGGGTCTTTCAAGCATGGTAAGGTCTCTGGATGTCACTCTGAGAAGGGAAGCCGTTTAAGGTTGGAAGCCATTTAAGGTTTTGAGTAGAGAAGAGCTATGGTCTGACATGATTCATAAAGGATGTCTCTGAAGGCTGTCTGATTACAAGGAAGCAGAAAAGAAAGCAGGGAGACCAGCTGACCAGTTTACAGGTTCTCAAAATAGCTGCATCTCTTAGACCACGGTAATAGCTATAGCGGGCAGGAAAAGTGGTGACACTCTGGACCTATCTTGAAGGAAGAGCCAAAATAATTCACTAATGAACCAGATGTAACATGTCAGAGTTGGGGGGAGAGAGAGAGAGTAATCAAAGATAATCCCAATAATTTTGGCCAAGAAATTGGAACCATGGAGTTGCCATCCGCTGAAATGAGGAAGACTACAGGAGAAGCAAGTTTATGGTGCCAAGCAGGAATCTAATCTTTTTTTTTTTTTTTTTGAGACAGAATCTTGCTCTGTCGCCCAGGCTGGAGTGCAGTGGCATGATCTTGGCTCACTGCAAGCTCCAACTCCCGGACTGAAGTGATTCTTGTGCCTCAGCCTCCTGAGTAGCTGGGATTACAGGTGCGTGTCACCACACCTAGCTAATTTTTGTATTTTTAGTAGAGATGGGGTTTCGTTATGTTGGCCAGGCTGGTCTCTAACTCCTAACCTTAGGTGATCTGCCTGCCTCAGCCTCCCAAAGTGCTGGATTACAGGTGTGAACCACCACGCCTGGCCAGAATCCAGTCTTGACATATGAAGTTCAAGATGCTTCTAGACATCTGTGATAGTTAATTTTATGTAGCAATGATGAAATTAACACTTAAATTGATGAACTTTGAGTAAGGCAGATTGGCCTCCATAATGCGGGTGAGCCTGACCCAACTAGTTGAGGGCCTGACTAGAATGAAATAGACCAGCCTCCCTGACAGAGAGGGAATTCTCCAGCATACTCCCTTTAGACTTCATTCATACCACAGGCTCTCCTGGGTCTCCAGCCTGCTTGCCCACACTGCAGATTTTGGACTTCTCAGCCTTCATAATCTTGTGAGTCAATTCCTTATAATAAATCCCTTTTTATATAGATAAATATTATAGATATTAAGAAGATACATAGATGTAGATTATGTGTTCTGTTTGGTCCTATTGGTTTTATTTCTCTGGAGAACCTTGACTAATACAACATCCAACTGGAAACAGTGAGAAGGCAGCTAGATATAGAAATTTGAAGATCAGGTATAAGATCTAGGATGAATATATATATCTGGAAGCCATCAACATTTAAATGGCATTTTTAAGATAAGAACACAAAGTAAGGAGAGATGGAAAAGAGACACAGAAAAGGGTCTCAGCCTCGTGAAATCCCAATGTTTAGCAATTGGGAAGATGGAAAACAACCAGAAAAAGACTGAAAGGAGCAGGCAGTGAAGTAGGCTAAGAACAAAGAGTGAGTGTTATTCCAAAAGGCAAGTGAGCACAGTGTTAAAAGGAATGTGTAATGGGTCTGCTGTGTTAAATGTGAAAAATGAGATCCCTCTCAACATGTATTTTGCTGAGTTTAATTAGCAAATATATCCAGTATGCAAAGAAGAAAACCGCTGTAATGATCAATGCTACAAGTCACCAGAAACTGTCATTAGGCCAGGCACGGGGGTTCACGCTTGTAATCCCAGCACTTTAGGAGGCCAAGGCTGGCGGATCACTTGAGCTCAGGGGTTCAAAACCAGCCTGGGCAATATAGTGAAACCTCATCTCTATTAAAAATATAAAAAATTAGCCGGGCGTAGTGGTAAGCACCTGTAGTCCAGCTACTCAGGAGGCTGAGGAGGGAGGATCACTTGAGCCCGGGAGACAGAGGTTGCAGTGAGCTGAGACTATGCCACTGTACTCCAACCCGGGCGACAGAGTTAGACTCTGTCTCAAAAAAAAAAAAGAAAAGAAAAAGAAACTATCATCAAAGTCTCCTAGTAACCTCTAATTCTTGTCTCATATAAAAGAAACCCCCAGTATTCCAGTGCCTCATCGCTCTTAAGTATTTCCCACAGTATACCTTCATATGATTTCTATACCTCAACTATCACTCTGCCAATGTATCATCTAGCTGATGAAAGTTAGGAATACTAACTTGTCCTTTTCAAGATGTACATTTGACTCAATAAAAGATACCCAAAATTTTATCACAGCATATATGCATACATTTCTTCAACAAACTGAGTGCCTACCATACGCCATGCAGTATGGTAGCTGCTAGAAATGATGTGGTGAGAGACACTGCCTTGACTTTCAGAGACCAAAACAATATGAGAAGTGTGTTAGATACTGTGGGGAAACAAAAGAGCGGCACCTGGAGGAAACTGGGAAACTGCTGAGTACTAAATAAGGACTTATTTAGTATTAGTACTAAATAAGGACTTATTTAGTATTAGTACTAAATAAGGAAGTAATATGATAGCCCTGCCAGGGGACTAGACGGGAGGGAGACAGGTAGCAGGAAGAATGCTGTTTTGACAATACGGAGGGGAAAACTGGTGAAGGTCTGCAAGAAAGTCCTGGACTTGGGTAAGGAGAAAGGAGCAGGGCCAGTCAGGAGGTACAATCAACGATGCAGTGGTTTGCTGTAAGGGATAAGGGAGAAAGAGAAGTCTAGAATCTAAGCTAGTTGACCAGCTGGTTGGCCCATGCTGTCACCATAAGCATGACAGTAACAGGTTTAGTGGAGTGAGAAGGGAAGGAGATGATGACTTTGTTTTTTTGACTGTGTGAATGTTGAGGTATACCATATCTAAGAGGGCATGTTCACTAGTCAATTGGATGCAAGGTCTGGGACTCTAGAAAGGTCAGTGGATATAAGCTTAGAGATTTATTAGACTGGAGGTAGGTTGGTTTGGGTTGCCAAGAAGAGTGTGTAGACTAAGAAGAGAGAAGAGCAGAGGGCAGAACCCTGGAAAATTCTAAGCCATGGCTAGAGGATCAGAAGCCCACAAAGACACACTGGACAAGTGGGCATAGAGACACGAAGGAAAAAAGCAGTATCGTGACCATGAAGAGAAGACAGTTTCTGAAAGGGAAAGATGTCAGCTGTGTCACATGCCACAAAGAAGTCAAGGCAAGAAAGGAAACTCATTTTCTGGACTTACATGAAGAGAATAACCTTGCCACAAATGCCCTAACAAATTAGTAACTTCTTAAGTTTTCTAGGATGTCTTTATTGCTAAAATAACCTCCGATAGCCATAATTCTTTTATTTACGTTGTGGTTTTATGCTTATTAAAGATAGTTCTATAAGTGAATCTATAATTATTTTAAAATAAAAAGTTGTTTAAAATAGTCCCATAATACAATCCTCTAAAAGAGACTTGGAAATATTTACGTTTTTCCAGTAAACCTCACATTAGCTAACGTAGGATTCACAAACTTGAATATATACAGGGGCCAGGCAAGGAAAAAGAAGAGTTAAGCAATTTGAATTGGGGGCGGAGTGGGGGTGGCAAACAACTCAAAACCCACATCCTTTCTAAAAAGAGCAGCCAATAGCCAATTCTACTATATTGCCATAAGGGCCAATCTTGCCAGGTCATCTGGTTTTTTGAGAAAAGCCAGAAATATGAATTTTTACATAAAATTTCCCAATTTTAAAATGTACCCAGTGAATTTAATTTTTTTCAAAATATTTTGTAAATGTAACAAACTATATCAATAGGTCTGAGACGGCTCATGAACCATTTAGTTTTTTTACCTTCGCTCTAGAGTATATATAATATGGCATTTTAATCTTATACATTGAGAAGAAATTAAGTTGTAAATAAGAAAGGAGGCTGAGGAGGGAAGATCACTCATAAGCAGTAATACAGCTGGATGCAGAATCTAGTTCTTTTAGTCACCAAACTATTATGTCTTTCCTCTGTGATTATACAGCTTCTTTACCTAACAAATGAAACATATACACAGATTAGTCAGACATGCAAGTTAATAATCACAGCATGCTGTAATAAATTTAGGACAGACAGCATAAGCTTTCCACTTAATTAATCCAGATGCTGTCTCTATTGAAATGTTTGTAAGTGGGAGCTCCAGATGAGTCATCAAATCAACTGTCTTTGCCTCAAAAATTCTGCTTTAAAAGTATAGAACACAATTATAGCACAGTTTTGAGCAAAATTATAACTTAGCTAAATAAATATCTTAAATAACAACATCAGGTAGATATTTTAAATTTCTGGAGAAAAGTTTAATTATTGCAGAGCTGATAGAAAGCTGGGCTCCAATTATTAAGACTTTAAGGACTGGCCGCTGTGGCTCACGCCTGTAATCCCAGCACTTTGGGAGGCTGAGACAGGCCAATCACCTGAGGCCAGGAGTTCAAGACCAGTCTGGCCAACATGGTGAAACTCCATCTCTACGAAAAATATAAGAATTAGTTGGGCGTGGTGGTGGTGCCTGTAGTACCAGCTACTCGGGAGGCTGAGGCAGGAGAATCGCTGGAACCTGATGGTGGAGGCTGCAGTGAGCCAAGATTGTGCCACTGTACTCCAGCCTGGGCGACACAGCCAGGCTCTGTCTTAAACAAAAACAAAAACAAAAAAAACAAACAAAAACATAACTTTAGTACGACTATATCCATCCATTCACTCAACATATATGATGAACCTACAATTTCCTGTTCTCTAGGGATATATTTTCCAGCTCAGGGCATATACATTTAAACTAATAATTTTCAGTAAAACATGGAGTGAGCGCTACAGGCGTACAGAAGGAAGGGGCTAGCATAGCCACTTAACTTCTTTGCCTTTGCTAACAGATCTCTAAAGTGAAGTATGCTGATTTTGCAAAAATCAAAGTCTCAGAGCTAGGGGACTTGGTGGGACACAGACCCATGTATTGTGACTGCAAGTTCACAGCTGAGATACCGTGAACAAAAAGGAATCACTCTTTCGTATTCCTCTCTTTCCCAAGGAGTCAGTGTACTCCTTTGCAAAGCAACTTTCACCTATAGAGTCCTAACAAATATTAGCTGTGTTTTCTGATTTAAGCCACTCAACTCAATGCCATGTTTTGTTTTCCTTTTGGGAGTCACCAACTAGCTTGGACTTGAAAGACGTCTTCTGTGCAAGGGGAAGCAAATCTTGCTGGCTGGAAGCAGCAGAATCAATCTGGCGCCAGGATCATCTGAATCTAGCAGTCTTTGCACAAACTCTAATCCAAATACAAACCCAGCAGCTTTTACTGCTGAAGTTTAATATTCACAGCAAAACCGCAACGTAACCTCACGTTGCCACTGGGCCCGGCTTGAGCTTTTGCTCGAGCTGGGTTTGGGCGATCTAAAACGAGGGACTGGGTGAAATGTTATTTATAGCCAGGGCCAGGAGAAGCCAAAGCCGACAGCCATTGCACTCCAGCGCGGGGCCGCCGCCATGCAAGCAGGTCGCACACCGCTCACCTTCACAGTCGGCCCCCGGTCGCCCCCCAGCCTCCTGGCCCTGCGCCAGCACCGGGTGAGAGACCCAAAGCCCGGCGCAAAAGGCCACCACGGCAACTGGGCTCGCGCACCACATGCTGGGCCAGCAGCTTCAATCGCCTCCGCCACCCGCACCCACCGCCCACTGAGGTGCCGAAGCGAGCTGAGTAGAGTGCGAGGTTGGAAAGAATCTGCCGGTAGTTGCCAGGACAAATGACGCAACTGAACTGAGAGTTTCCATTGGCTCTCACGGAAGGGACAGGAAGGGGGCGGAGCGTAGAAGCCTTTTCCCGTCACTCCCTGGTTGCGCGTGCGCACTATGCCGTTCCGCAGAGCGCAGAGACACGCGCTGAAGCTACTCGCGTACTGCGCGTGAAGAAAGGCAGCACCTTCACGCTGATTGGCGGCGACGCGGGAGGCTGTCGCGGCGGACCGGACGCAGGGGGCGGGCGGGAACGTGAAGCTCCGCGGTGCCTGATGGGGCCGTTGGGCGGCTGGTAGCTGTTGCTGTTGGGGGACCCCTTCATTCCTACCGCCGCCGTCCCTGCTGCCTCATGGCGGCCATCGGAGTTCACCTGGGCTGCACCTCAGCCTGTGTGGCCGTCTATAAGGTGAGGGGCTGCGGAGCTGGGCTAGGGCTTCATGACGGCCACCCGGTTCTCTGGTGCGGGCTCATCCACAGGCTTGAGAGCGGCGTGTCGCCGGCCTAGGGATGTCGTGGAGTGGCGTTGCCGCGAGGACACTCCGGGGCGAAGGGCCGGGCGGGCCAGGCCTAGCCCCTGGCGACTCCTTCAGAAAGTTCTCTGCTCCGCGGCGGAAGCTCCCGGCGACTTAGACGCGCAGAGTTCCAGGGGCGTCATGGCGGCGGGATGCCCAGAGGGGTCCCGGGGACAACGGAGCTGCAGGGTGCCCGGGGGGTCTCGGAGAGGGCAGGGCCGCTGGGTGTCCGGGGATGGGTCCCGGGGACGTCCTGGACTCTGAATGCCGGAAGGGTCTCGCTGACGTCAGGGCCTCAGGATTCCCTTGGGTGGGAGGTTCTCGGAAAGTGGCCGCGAGGTACTTGGAGGCGGTGGTCTTTGGGACAGCAGGGCCGCAGGACGCGCTGAGCTGGGCCCGAACGTCTAGGTCCCGGAGGGGCGGGGAGGCTGCTGTCGAGTTGGAGCTGATGGTCCTGCAACGCTGCCTGGCTGTGAAGCCAGTTGATTGTGCGTGCTCTACAGAGGTGGCCTTTCTGGAAGTGAGAGCTTGACAGGACTTGTGGCCTTTCTCTCCTCAGTGGGGAGGCAGAAGGAACGATAATCATGAACTCCGTTGCCACTAGTTCCGCGTTTAAATGTCAAATGACTTGTTAGGAAAAGCCAAAGGGAATAATGCTGCTTCATTTTGTAGAAATAGGAAGAAAGGGGTCCAGCGCGGTGGCTTACGCCTGTAATTCCAGCGCTTTGGGAAGCCGAGGCAGGCGGATCATGTGAGGTCAGGAGTTCGAGACCAGCCTGGCCAACATGGTGAAACCTCGCCTCTACTAAAAATACAAAAAAATTATCCGGGCTCGCCTGTAATCCCCGCTGCTCAGGAGGCCCAGGCATGAGAATCGCTTGAACCCTGAAGGCGGAGATTGCAGTGAGCCGAGATCCGCCACTGTAGTGTGCACTCCAGCCTGGGCCACAGAGCAAGACTCCGTCTCCAAAAAAAAGAAAAAGAAATGGTAATGGTAAGAAAGAAATAGGAAAGGTAACGTAATAATAGGCTTCGTTTTGTGTGTAGAAAGGTTGTTATTACTTTTGATTCAATTGTTGACTTTGCAGAGCAGACTGAAAACATGAGGCAGTTATTCATGGAGTTATAGGCCTTCTATGAAAACGAGGAAATTAAATGGTAATGAAATTTGCGAGTTGAAAATATTGAGAAAGCAGTTTTTCTTTCCACACAGATGGCAAAGTAACACTGGTGCACACATGTCTGAATACGTCTAATGAGACCATTTCGTGTTTTTTTCTCTAGGATGGCCGGGCTGGTGTGGTTGCAAATGATGCTGGTGACCGAGTTACTCCAGCTGTTGTTGCTTACTCAGAAAATGAAGAGGTACTAGTCCCCTCATTTTTGTACTTGTGAAGTAATTTAAAATTACATGCATTGTAATATATATATATATTTTTCAGATTGTTGGATTGGCAGCAAAACAAAGTAGAATAAGAAATATTTCAAATACAGTAATGAAAGTAAAGCAGATCCTGGGCAGAAGGTATGGAATCAAATGATACTTTTAAATATAGTAATAGAAACATGTTCATAAATTCTAAGCATAATGTGAAACTAGAAACAGCATAGTTTGTTTCTTCATTTTATGACTGAGTCATTAGAGAGTACCCCCAGTAGGCTGTGTCTTTTGATTATTAGTGTTGGATCTTCTCCACTATGGGATTCACTCAGATGTTAGTTTCTTGCTGACAGGTCTGTTAGTATTGATAAATGCTAACATTCATTTAATTTTGGTAATTTGTGTCAGAGGTGGTAATTTGGATTGTTCACATTTTTAGATTTTTTTTTAACTGAGAGGATTTCAAAGATTTTGTGGGAATTGGAAGACTTCTTGATAATGTGGTTGAATTTTGCTGACTCTATTACAATTGTTCATAATCGATGTAGACACTATTGATTTTCTTCCTCATGATCTTTTGTGACACTTTCTGGGAACTAACTTTTCCATTGGACTTACAAATTTAATCATTAGAGTAACAGCTAAATTAACATCTTATGTAAGAATCAGATTAATCATCTGTTGTAACTTTAATTAGAAGATTAAAAGAGGCTTGCTTCCCCAGACTTCTGTCTCCTGAAATTATAGATTGCTGTAATAATTAGGGGTTTTCATTTTCACTACTGTAGTAATACTTGATAGAGTGTTTTTAAATTTTCAAAGTGCTTTCACATCTATTATTTTATTTAATCCTCTCAACATCCTTGTAAAATTGTCAAGGCAAATACTATCATTCCCCATTTATAGATGAGAAAATCAAGGTACAAAGAAATTTTTACCTTAGGTTAGGGGGTAAACTGGATAAGACTGCAGATCAGGTCTCCTCACCCTCTGCCCCAGGTTCTTTTCTTTCAACTTTGTTTAGTGAGAATGTAAGTAAAAATGTCCTTGTGTTGATTTAGAATTTGGATATTATAGATTAAATTTATACAGGTATCTCTTACCTGTTTATCTTATTTTGTATCTCTTACCTGTGTTCAATTAAATTGAACTTGATATTAATCTTTTTCCTTAGGATATTTATGCACTAAGCCAAAAACTATAGTTGTTTGGAGATAATTCAATATTTGGTGACAATAAACATATCCCCATATCCTTTTACCTGTTGACAAAGTACTGAGCATATTAAATATAAGTTGGTGTCAAATATTTTCAAATCATAAAGTGTAGAAAAAAGAACTGTAGATGGATCTTGAAGCCTGAATCACTGAGTAGCCAACAATATATTTGTTTGTTTTTTTAAATTAAACTTTTTATTTAGAGAGAATTGTAGTTTCCTATGCTGCTGTGTAAGAAATAATACAGAAATGTCAAGCACATGACTGGATTCACCACCTCTCCCCTTGGTTACATCTTGCAAAACTATAGTACAGTGTCACAACCAAGATGCTCACATTGATCCAGTCCAGATACAGTATATTTCCATAGATCTCTCCCCTGGTAGCCAACAATATGTTACTGTTTGTTTTATGCTGCTGTTTGGGGGCAGATGGTTACGGTAATTATGTGGCTTTCTTCTGCCATATTGTACAAAAAAGCTTTGTATTAGCAGAGCAACTTAAACTCACTTTTCTGGCCCATAGTGACAGATGGGTAACACAGAGCCACAGTGTGCTATGATTAGTGAAGACTGAGCATCTTTCAGATTGCTATACCATGGTCATGCTTGGACTCCTTTAGAGTTAGCTGCCTCGTGGTCCAGGTGATTTTCCCTCCCAGCCCATCTGCTCACCAGACAAGGGTGATTTTTACAGATCCATTGTTGTACCAACTCTCAGCCACAAAAGCATTTGGCCCTTTTGTTACCAAGCCATTAGGTCCTTGGTGCAGTGTCTACCCTGGGTGAACTCCCGAAGTTGGGCTGTCTCAGTCTTAGCCTCATGCCTGTTTATGACCTACTAACAGGTAGCATCACTTAACTTGCTGCCAAAATTATCCTTACACCCTTCCTGTAACTCTCATTCCCCTGTGGCCTTCCAGCCAGAAATGCGGTCCTTGGACCTGGCTTCTCAGCAATTATCCCTGAGAGGGAAGATCCTGGAGATATCCTGAGAGCACACAGAGCTTCCCCACACCTTCAGACTTGCACCTTGCTGTCCAGAAGCTGCCCAGCCCTCCTTTCCAACCCACAATGGCCAGTGCCAATAGCAGTGCGGGCATCCGGTGGTCCAGACAGGAGACACGAACTCTTCTCTCCATACTAGGCGAGGCAGAGTATATTCAGCGCCTCCAGACTGTGCATCACAATGCAGATGTCTATCAGGCTGTGTCTAAGCGAATGCAGCAGGAGGGCTTCCGCCGCACCGAACGTCAGTGCCGTTCCAAGTTTAAAGTTCTGAAGGCATTATATTTAAAGGCCTATGTTGCCCATGCCACAAGTATGGGTGAGCCACCACACTGTCCATTTTATGATACGTTGGATCAGCTTCTCCGAAATCAGATAGTGACTGACCCAGACAACTTAATGGAGGATGCTGCTTGGGCCAAGCACTGTGATCAGAATTTAGTGGCCTCTGACGCCCCAGGGGAAGAGGGAACCGGCATTCTAAAATCAAAAAGGACTCAGGCAGCTGATCATCAGCCTATGTTGAAAACAGTTAAGGAATCAGATGAGGATTGTCAGCTAAGAATCAGTGACCGGATACAAGAAACCAGTGACCTCGAGGACTCCTGGGATGAATCCTCGGGTGCAGGTAACTCCTAAGCATGTGAAGGATTCGGGTCCCAGAGTCACATGGCTCTAAACAGCTGTGTCTGTTTGGATAGTGTCCTCTTCAGCATAGTTCCTGTTTCTGCCTCATTCTGCCCCATGCACCTTTTTAAAAACCTAATAGTAAGCTAAAGGGTTCCAGGTTTTCAAAAGCTATGCCCATAGCAACATAAGGTATTAGAACTCTTTAAACCTAGAAGAAGTGCTCTCTAGAACCAAACTAGTTCTGGCATTATTAATAATGGGTAGTTAGGAA